CCCCCCCCCCCCCACCCCTAGTAATTTTCTCATCCAGGGTTTGTTTTCATAGCAAACTTAATTATTTGAATTTTTATGGGAGGAGACAGTTACGATAAAGCGTCTGTAATCGTTTCTCGCAAAAATTAGTTTGGGGTCGGGAAATTTTGAGCCCCCCCCCCCCCAAAGCAATTTGCTACCAACTACAGTGTAGAAAAAAAAAGAAATCACATGTAAAATCATACCTAGTAATACCATAAAAATCTGTATAATTATCGTACATTATTTTAGTAACACATGTACGCTGTATTTTATAATTATTTTTTATGATATTTTGCAGATATTGATGAATGCGTTCTTCAAATTGACAACTGTCACAATAATGCTGAATGTAATAACACAGATGGCTCATTTGCATGTGCTTGCAATATGGGATATTCAGGGAATGGTACTAGCTGTGAAAGTAAGTGGAATAGAATCCGAGACAACAACAGTGTGAGGAGCCATGCATCAGCCATGAATTACTATAGATGCCGATTAGTAGGCTGGCTGATGAGTTATGGCTTTATTATATTTTTGGCTCACGAAACTCGACAATTTTAAGCTGAAAACCTCAGAATCAGAATCATGTATGCGCACCGTGCACTTGTAGTTGTCCTTAAGAAGTTTTAACTTGCGCCAGTGTCCCTATCAACAATGATTTTAATGACTGATAGTAACAAATAGTAAAATACATAATAAAATAAGAATCATACTAGTATACCTATCAGTAGTAAATGCTGACTTGCTCCTTAATTTGACGATATATCAAAACGGCACCCCCTTTCCATATTAACAACCCCAGTTTAAATACAATCGTAAGCTCCTAACTCATCGTAACTGTAAGCTCAACACTAACTTAATCGTTGTAACGTCATTATTGTACATATTATGAATAAATCATTGTTTTGGTCGCAAATATATTTCTTTGATCTTGACCGTAACCACAATCCATCCCTAACCTGACTTTATCGTGGGCGAAACATGAGAATCTAACCATAAACTCTTTCTTAATCTTATTATCCTACCGTTACTCTAATATCTGTGATATCAGAACGACAATACTATGGAAGCTTGTACCCATTTTTGGAACCTTTTCACTAAACCACAACATCATTCAATGCATGACTCAACAATTATTTTAAGACCACACAGATTATTCAATGCTTTTAATTACAAAAGCAATTACCAGCATTCGAACAGCGGCGTATAAAAAGCGCGTAAGTTCGAATGCCGATAATTTTAGAACTAGGTAATAAAACGCAAATCCCAGCGGCAAATGTTTAGAAAATTTCTTATCTTACCTTGTCACATTGAATCCAATAAAAAATTTTAAAAATCCTGAGCCCCTCGAAGCTTTATTTAAGACCCTATATTTTCTGTTCAAATGTATGTTTTTACCGGAATTGGGTTTCCGTGCTCGCAGGGAAACTACCTACAATAACCAATTACGCATTCTGATTGGCTAAGAGAAAAATTGTCAACAAATGCGCTGATTGGTCGGAAACGAAATTCCCCCTTGTTAGTCCAGCAGCAATGTAATAGTACAGCGGAAAACGCGAGCACGTGAAAAGATTCTGACTTAATATTCCATAAACTCTCTAGCTCTAGATCTGCAGAGCAATTTTAACAGATTTGTTATTCCCAAATCAGTGCAACGTAAGGTGTTTATCGCCGCCACGACAGAAAAATTATAATGGTCCGCTGGCCAATCACATCGAATGCTCAGATTACTTGACAAGTTTTCAGGCGAACAAAGTTTGTACTTTGACAATTTTTTTATGACAAGTGCACTTGTTCAAAAGCTAGATGCTAGCTTTTGAACAAGTGCATTTGTCATAGAAAAAATTGTCAAAGTTGCGCGTATAGACGAACAAATAAAACTTGTCACATACTGGAAACTCGTCATAGAAAACTTGCTCGTCTGTGACCGCATTAATGTTTCTCATATACAGGGTACCCCATACAATCCAAAACGATTGAAATAACGTTGAAATAATTTGAATGACTCAGAATTTTGCTGAACGCAAAAGTGCATAACAGCTTGACATAAGTAAATTTTATGCATAAAGAAACTGTTTAATTTAATAAGAAGCTGCTAGCTTTAAATTCCGAAGAGCAGAAATTCGCTTGAATACAATTCTTCGCCAATTTTCCTTTCTTTCGAATTTATCTAATTGATGCGAAGTCGTTTAAGAACTGAATATCGAACAACATGGAGCAAAACTTGCATCCAAGGTCGACGTCGAACTAAAGCCACGTTACTTCGAAAACTAGAGTTGAGGACATTGTTTTTAATCATTCGACACAGGCCTAACATAACAAAACAAAACGGCATGATTAATGATAACAAAATATTCCATGCACATGCTTCAATCCCACTGACTTGCCCCTATAGTTACGTTGCATGCTTAAATAATGCACATGCCATTCTATTGTGTATGCAGTATAGTGTACTATGCTTTTTGGCAGGCAAAAGTACATTCAATTAACCCATGAAATAGCATGCAAAGCATCGTTCTCTTAAAATGCCATACTATAGCCATAGTTGGCATAGCCTGCAGAGCACTCGTTTTGGTTAAGGGCTTAGGCGAAGGAAACGCCTGCAGTCGTGTCCAGCAGAAAAAAAATAATGCGTTCTCCAGCGAACGCAGTATTCTGATTGGTCCGCGATAATTAGCACTATCTCTTTACTTCCGATATTGCATGAAATTTGTTGTCTTGCTGATGCGTGCCAAAATCACAACATGTCCACATTGGAAGATTTCGAAAGTGCACTTTCGCATTTTTCTACCGCAAGGATTACAAACTCTCTCGGAATATAACTGTGGGTCACGATGTAATTTAATAGCTAACTTTATAAGCATGCAAGGCTTATAATCTAGTACGGGGACGTGACTTTCAAAAGTATAAAGAACTACTGTTTTAAAATTATACTAAGAACGTCAACAGGCCGGACGAAAGTGCAACGAGGACGGTTAATAATGTCATATATTAATACAAGAAAATGAGCAAAAATAAATAATTAAACTCGATCCCTCGGAGGTTTTAGACGTCGCCGTTGCTCTGTGTATAAAGGCAAAATACAGATTATCACGTCTTGTATATGTGTAAAGGCCAAATTCCACAACGAGCGAAATGCGAAAAATTTTGCGCGAAAAGGTTGAACGCATGCGCAACATGATTTTGGATTGTTTCCGCTCTACGAAATATTTCTCTTCGCCAGGTAGTTGAATTCTTTTCTACTCCGTTGCGAAATGGAAATAGCGAAATTAAACCAATCATATGCTTGTGTTCTGAATGACAAAATAGCGAAACCAATCAAATGCTTGTGTTCTGAATGACAAAATAGCGAAACCAATCACATGCTTGTGTTCTGAATGAAAAAATAACGAAATCAATCAAATGCTTGTGTTTTGGCGACGAGAGAAACTTTTCGCACAAGTGTGCGGTTTTCGCGCGAAATTTTCCGCATTTCGCTCGTCGTGGAGTTGCGCTTATATTTCAAGCTGGGACAAATACGACGTTCTATTGGGTCCTAGAACTTTTCTGAATCATTAACCTTGTGTTAAATTTGATCCCTGAACTGTATTATTTTCATACGATGGATAGACGACAGGTTTTCTTCTGCAAGTGTACCGAACGATGTTGATCAGCAAACTGTATTGGATTTATTAGGATGGAAAACATTAAAAGAACAACGATTAAAAACTAAAGCGAAAACAATGTTTAAGATACTTCATAATATGGGGCCAAATTGCCTCAAAGACTTATTCATTTTCAAAAAAAATGAAATATTGAATCATAATCTACGTGACAGCTCGACCACATTACGGTTGCCAAAGCCACGTTCGAACAGTTTAAAGAAGAGTTTCATGTATGACGGAGCTGTCATATGGAACTCTTTGCCAGAAATTATTAGAGAAAGCAAAACGCTATCAATTTTCGAAAGGAAAATCGCTACCCATTAATTCTTATTAAAGCATGAATGTAAATAATAAATTAACGTATATTATATAGTATATTTTCTTTTTCACATATATGCATGTAATTTCTTACTACCTTTATCTTTTTTTCTTGTAAATTTACTTTTGTTCACACGCCCATTGTGGAAACCAGCTTTAGCTGACAATGTTAGCGTGGTTAAATAAAGTTTATCATCATCATCATCTTCACTAATGAGTTTGTTTGCTTTCGCGTTCCCGACCTACACTAATTAAGCTCGCTAATATTGACACTGGCATATTATATTGGATAACTGGGTAGTGGGTCCCTACGACTATGTTATCGTGAGACGGTGTAGGGAAGGAAGTTGATGATGGGTTAAAGATTAACGAAGATGAATTAAGAGATTTGTGTCGGCGTTTCAGTTGTAAGTAAACTGTAGGGATGTCAATGTGACGGTTAAATGTTGGTTTGTCTAAACTATGCCAGGCTTCTCAAATAAACTCAAGGGCATGTTTGGTCGTTGCTTGTCATAGGCACTTCGTTTTAAAAGTCGAATTTATGTCCGTTGTCGTCTGTGTGTTTAGCTGGTGAGTGATTGATTGAGTTTTGGTGTTCTGTTAGTCTATAGCTTGTCTGAATCTTTTCAGAATGTATTTGTCCGGACAGTTTTTGCAAGGGAAAATATAAGTGGCCTTATGTTTTTCTTTTATATGTGTTTTGTCTTTGTGTTTAGTGAAGTTGGTCCTACTGTAAGTTTGCATGTTGGTGTGTGCAACGTCTATGTTGAATGGTCGGAGCGAGAAGTCTAGCATGCCATTTCCGATGTTAGTAGTGTGTATGTAAGGAAGTGTAATTTTTCGGTAGTAGTCTAAGGAGTAGTCATTTTTGTAGAAAGTAGAGTATAAATACTTGCGTTCGTATTGTTTGAATTGATATCAGTGTTACAATGTATGTCAATTCTGTTAAATAGTGTCTTTATGCAACTGACTTTGTGTTGTTTTGGGTGATTCATGCTATTGTAATTTAATATTTGATCTGTTATATGTGTTTTCTTGCGATAAACTTGCGTGTTTAAAGTACCGTTGTCTGTTTTTGTTATTGGACGTCCAAAAATGCGAGTTTAGGCCCTATATATATATATATATTTTCGTTTTACCTCAAAAAACCACAACAGTCTGTTTCATCCGTTGCAAGTCAGTCAAATCCGTCATCGATCAGTGCAGGAAATTGAGACCGAAAATGAGCCAAGCAGCTTACTGCATGTGCTTAAAAGATAAATCGCCTTTCCCATCAAGAAAAGATCCAGAACTGTGTGATGAAATAAAAAATGGCTCTCGACCCTGGTTTTTTGAGGTAAAACGAAAAACTATATTACGCTCTATCTATATGGTATTGAGCACTGTTTGTGTTTCTAAACCAAAATCTTAAGCTATATATATATATATATATATATATATATATATATATATATATATTTTTATATATATATATATATATATATATATATATATATATATATATATATATATATATATATATATATATATACCGGGTGGCGCAAAAAAAAGTTAACCTGTTTGATTTGTTTTAACTTAAAAGCTAAGAGCTATTACACGTGAACTACGTGCATTGCATTCAGTATTGTCTAACTTAAATTTTGATATACGCCCGGTGTATTTTTGTGCAATATTGACCGAGAGAGCTGCGTTTAAACTTGAGTAACCATTTTTGAAAGTGTCGAGAATTAGCCAAAAACGGCCTATCAAATATTTAATACAGCAATAACCTGTGCTTAGATGCTATAGTCAGAATAAAGTACACGTTCGTTGTCAGAGACCTGCGCAACGCCGCCGGTATAACCTCACGAGTATTATTTAGCCTACCCTTGCATATTCTAAACATATCGAAACTCCTTGGACCTTCGTTAAACGAGGCGTATTTATACAAAAAAGTCGACGTTTCTTTCTTGGAACATTATAATTTGATTCCCCAGGGTCATTGAATATTTAGAATAAATCTTTTAAAATCAAAATCGCTTCATAATTTAATTTTCATGCATTCCCGAAGACCTTAAACAAAAATAGGGGAGCTAGCACATCCATCCAATAAACGTTTCTAATTTAGATTTCACTTCATTCAAACGAATATTCACGATAAAATGGTAACAGTTATCAAATTAGTTTAACAGGTTGTTTTTGGCTGATTCTCGACACTTCCAAAAATGTTTATTCAAGTTTAAACGCAGCTCTCTCGGTCAATATTGCACGAAATTGCACAGGGCGTATATCAAAATTTAAGTTAAACAATACTGAATGCAATGCGCGTGTAATATTATATAATATTTCTCACACAGGCACAAGTTGCATGAAATAGTAGCAAAAAATGCAACTTGTGCCTGTGGGAGAAATATTATATAATACGTCAACGTAAGACTGCAACGCTCAACAAAAGAAGTGAACTTATGTCGGAATGTAGACATTCAAAGAAATTTTTATTGGGCAATGCAATTACTTAGTTAGAACGATGAACTATAGCTTTTAACACTTAGCATATAAACATTATCTTAATCCATCCGTGAAACAATACAACAATGAACATAATAATGTAGAGACAATGAACCATATAGTACTTAGATTTTATACAAATTCAATATGACTTTTTAGCATTTTAAATTTATTGTAATTTGTTTATCAATGAACTTGCCATGTAACATTATCGATCGGTATTCGCCTGACGATTGCTTCAGCAGAAGCATGAAACTCAGAGTAGCAATTAAATGTTTTTAAACTAAGAAGTCTCTCTTAACTCTATATATATATATATATATATATATATATTTATACATACATATATATATATATATATATATATATATATATATATATATATATATATATATATATATATATATATATATATATATATATATGTATATATATATATATATATATATATATATATATATATATATATATATATATATATATATATATATATATATATATATATATATATATATATATACTGAAGACTATATTAAAAAAAAATAGTCGATGAGTTGACGTAAGGTAGAAGAGCGCTCAATACCATAATAAGTAGAGCGGAATTAATTCAGTCAAGGTTTGAATGTTTGCGTCGCTACTCTGAGTTTCACGCTTTACGCGATCATCATTTGTTACCTGATGATCGCGTAAAGCGTGAAACTCAGAGTAGCGACGCAAACATTCAAACCTTGACTGAATTATATATATATATATATATATATATATATATATATATATATATATATATATATATATATATATATATATATATATATATATATATATATATATATAATTCAGTCAAGGTTTGCGCAGTTACGTTAGAATATGATGATGTTGTAATGTGTTCATAAAATCTTATTCAATGTGTGTGTGTATTTCTTTCTTTTAAGTGCCCATCCAGGGTCACAAGGCCTGGACAAATCTTAGGATTTGAGCTCACGAGTGGAAGGAATACTATCGTATAAGATTTTATTAACACATTACAACATCATCATATTCTAACGTAACTGCGCATGTCATCGTACGATGTTCAAAGTTCAGGGACAGCGACGCGTGATATACCTGTTTATTTATGCATGTTAACTCATGCTGACACAAAGAGAGTGCTCGAATAAATAAATTATGAGCATTAAAAAGGTAGATATTTGTCATGTTTGTTTCATGTTTTAAGCCTATGTAGCGGTCTCTCTTCTTTAGTGTATCAGTCTACGGGGACCCCCTACGACCTAATATATTTTATCATTTTTACCAAAGGGCTGAAACATAATCATAGTACCTTAAAATAACGTGTCTAGAGTGCTCAAACAAAAGCGAGCATTATATAGGTAGATATTTTAATGTGTTTGTTTCACAAAAGTATATATCGCTGTTTAACTTACGATAGTATTCCTTCCACTCGTGAGCTCAAATCCTAAGATTTGTCCAGGCCTTGTGACCCTGGATGGGCACTTAAAAGGAAGAAATACACACACACATTGAATAAGATTTTATTAACACATTACAACATCATCATATTCTAACGTAACTGCGCATGTCATCGTACGATGTTCAAAGTTCAGCGACGCAATATATATATATATATATATATATATATATATATATATATATATATATATATATATATATATATATATATATATATATATATATATATATATTGAATATACGTTGAATTCTAATATATATATTGAATATACGTTGAATTCTATTAACATTTCTATTATGCATGATTGTTGCTTTATGACAATTCATAGATATCAACGAATGCGCTGTTGGTACTGACAACTGCCACGAGGATGCCGCATGTTTAGACACAGACGGTTCATATGAATGTAGCTGCAATGAGGGATATTCTGGGAATGGTGTGGCCTGTGAAAGTACGTAAACTAGAAATTTTGAATATGTTTTTGAATAACTTCAAAATTATACTAGAACAGAAAATTTCCAACAAAGGGAATGCGAATGCTCTGGTAATTGCTGCCATAAGGTTTCCACTAGAGTTGGGAGTCTTCCTTACGTTGTTCGCATGCATCCCCAGCAGGACGTTTCTTCTTTTTTCTTGTCCTAAACATAAATATAACCTTCATGAAGCAATTTGCAATTTCCCTGAGAACTGTTAGGGAATGTTCATTTAATATGACAAGGGGGGGGAGGGGAGTGAAGATTTCGTATTGCTTACAAGATTTTTTTAGGAGCCCATCGCAACATTGCGCTGAAATTTGTGAGCCCACCCCCTGTAAGTATCCCTAAAAATTAAGAGCCCCCCCTTCTTCCTTTGCTCAATTTTAATAATACCCATATATAACTACATCCAAAATCTTAAAGATACCTGGGCGTTATCCTGATTTTAACGAGTTAATAAACATAATAGTCTTCGTATCTTGCATGTGGAAAACTAGCTGCTCTTCTGCTGCGTATCGTTGGCAAATTTGCAATTTCTTCATCAGAATCCTCAGACATTCCCTCAGTTGAATTGTCGTCTTCATCGCCTTCTGGAATTATCTGAAGTACTTCATCATCGTCAGAATCGGATTCACCATCTCCTGACAAAGTATCATCATCTGAAGTTTCTGCATCAATGGCTGCGTCGTTGGTCCTATTTATGTAGAAATCTTCTTTAATTCGTTTGATTTTATCCTTTTTTTTTCCGATAGTGGACAGGTCGTGTCTCTTAAGGTACTGGTCAAGTTCCATCACTTTTAATGAATTTAGTTTTCCTGAATCAATGAGGGTATTCCAATCGTAGTCCTCATAGGTTTTGCTGCACTCTTTTTCTCGTTTTTTTCTTCTTTCGTTTTCCCTGATAGCAGACATCATTTTCAACTCTTCAAGGTGTTTAACATATGATGCGACATCCTTCTCTTCAACACAATAGCGACTGGATACTTCTTTACAGTGCGTCTACAGTAAGTGGGGCCACTTAGAGAACACTAACCAATCACATTGCAGAACAAAAATTGAAAAAATCAACAAACGGCGCATTAGCCAATCAGCATTAGGCCAAAAACAATTTGAACAAATTAACGAATGTCAAACGGTAAAAATAGACTTGTAAAAGTAAACACTGCAGTTAATGCTTCCTGAATCTTTCTTTTGACTGGACGAGCTTTAGTTTGATTAGAGTTTTCTTTTTGTTCTGCAATGCGATTGGTTAGTCTTCTCTAAGTGGTCCCACTT